ATATTTTTTCTTGGTTTGGTTTAGTTTTTAATTTTTATTTGAGTTCCATATGTTTGGGGATATTTTTTTTTAATTAAAAAAGGAAACAAAAACTTTTTCCTTGCAAATTTGTAAACCTAGATCAGCAGCATAATGCATGGACTTTCTAGTGATGCCGAATTTTTTTTGAGTCACTTAAATATTAATACACTTTTAAGAGCAAATTGTTGGAACTATTTTGCTTCGACGGATCAAAAATGAACCTTTTTTGGATCGGCTCGTGACTGGTGATGAAAAATGGATCCTGTACAACAATGTTCAAGGCAAGAGAACATGGAAACAGGCACACGAAGGGGCGGAACCGATTCGAAAGGTGGATTGCATCCGATGAAGGTACTGCTGTACATTTGGTGGGATATCCGAGGCGTGATCTATTTTGAGCTCTTGCCAGCTGGAGAAACGATCACTGCCAACAAGTATTGTCAGCAATTGGTCGAAATGAAGAAAGCAATTGATGAAAAACGTCCGATTTTGGCCAATCGCAAAGGAGTTCTTTTCCATCATGACAACGCCAGGCCACATGTTGCAAAACCGACCCTGGCCAAACTGAAGGAGGTGAATTGCACCTTCTGACTATCATTTGTTTCGATCGCTGCAGAACAATTTGAATGGCAAAAATTTAAAAACTTGAAAGACGTCAAAAACCACCTTGACACCTTTTTCAACGAGAAACCGAACGATTTCTATGAATTAGGCATCCGTAAATTGGTTGAACGTTGGGAGTGGATTGCCTACCATGATGGCGAATACATAATTGATTAATAAAAGCGCTTTCTTCAAAAAATTTAGTTTGCACTTGAAATCGGGCACGAACTTATGCACTCATCCGATAGTTTTAAGTAGGTCGATTAAGCAGCTTTATATTTCTGGGTCTGTATACACACATATATACCCATGCAGTTGTTCATTTCATTCACGAATTCAAAAAACTTTACAAAACCAATAAAATATATTTACTCTTAGTGAGAATGGAATTCGAGAAAAACAAATAAATGGAGGAAAGAAAAATGCGAAATAAGCAGTACAAAGGGAATATTTTTCGATGAGCCAAGACATAAGAGAAAAAGTCGAAGTGAAAGAATAGCAGAGCTGAGGAGTAGGTAGGGGCAATAAATGAAATCGGCCAAAGCATATTGACCGCTAAGTAAACAATGTCATTACCAAAAGTACTAGAGGCAACTTGATCAAAAGGAAGAGCATGTAAGGTATGAGCACCAGAAGCAAAAGAAGCAAGAAAGAAACGCAAACAAGAATCGGAGCAGAGAAGCGATGCAGGAAGTCATGAAGTCGAAGGAAATTTTTGAAAAAAAAAACAATATATATATAAAGATATCGGATTGTGGTTTGAGGCAGCGGAGGGTATTTGCCAAGGTTGTGGGGCTCACACACATACTACAGGAAACTCAATAATGTAAAAAATATCTGTATGCGATGGCTGCGAATATGAGAATATAAAGAAAATACAAAACTGTTTACGTGCTGATCAAAAAGTGTGTTAAAAAGTAGCTGGAGATGAACATTTAACTGCTGGATACGACAGCAGTGTCTTTGGGGTGGGGAATGGAAAATGTCTGAAGTCAATGGTGTGGTTACTTAAGTGGAATAAATAAAATTAGAAGTGGAGGCATGGGGATGGTATTCTTAGAAAATGTAAACTAAAAAGCTGAAAAGTAAAAAAAAAACACACACACATACAAACCTACTTAAAAGTAAGCAAAAATACAACAGCGCTCCATCAGTGTAATGAAATGACGTAAAATGGAGGCAAAGTTGTTGCCAAGAGAAAGCCTAATGTAATGATGTGTTGTTAGAGTGACTTGGAGCTGCAGCACTGTGTGCCTGCGGTTGTAATTTAATGTAAGAATAGGATTGTTGGAAGACTCTAAGTAAATCTTACCAAACACTTCTGATGTGGCTTGGCTAAGTAAAGCAGCTGTGCGGCGACTTCTGTTGCTTGGCATAGGAAGCTGCTTAAATGAAATTCGAAAATAATGACAGAAAATCGAAAAACTAAATCAAAAAAAAAAAAAAAAAAAAAAAAAAAAAAAAAAAAAAAAAAAAAAAACGAAAGAAATTCAAATTTGAAAAAAAAAACTTTTATGAGAACAAGAAAGAAACAATGCATGCAGCAGAGCAACCGAGTAAAAGATTTCTTCTTGACTTATCGCTAAGAAAAGCTTATTGGCATACATACTATCTATACATACATATTTACGTAAGCATTTATGTGCTGACTGTATGCTGAGTACTTGTTGGTAGGCAAGAGGCAACCTAACGCCTTTTGTTAGGCAATCTTACTCGAAAAAGCGGCCACTGTATAGCGTAAACAAAAGTCGAATTGACTGCCAATTGCTTGAGAAAATAACAACAATGGAGCTACATTTTATCTTAGGTAAGGAATAGAAACAAAAGGTTAATACAGTCACTGCTCTTTAAAGGAAAAAGCGTGCAGGTAATAAAGGGAGCAGGAGTCAAAAAGTATATTCTGAAATATAAAGAATTAATATGGGGAATGATTTAGAAATTTATGAAAAATTTGCTGTAAAGAAGTGATATTTGATTTATATCTTTCAAATAAATCATTTACACCCAAAGTCACGTATATATGTATCTGCCCAGACAGCCATTTTCACCATCCCATAATTTTAAATAATTTAATTAAATTCATTACAAATTAAGAACTCTGGATCTGTTTCTCACTCACTCCAAAAGCATAGTGTCTGCAATCGGTGTTGCTAGGATGTTTTCAGAGATCCAATGGCCCTAAAAGAGAGACTGGAAAAGTCAACAAATTTTTTTCTGAAAAACCTAAAAGGTTAGGTAAAAGTACAAAAAAATTTTCTATATCTAGGAAAGAAGAAAGTTATGTGAAGTGTACGGAGAAGCTGCGTTAGTCAAACGCTTACGCCAAAGTACTACGCAACACATCCTAGAAGGTCCTTTGCAGCCGATGTGGATTGAAATAAAAGCGTTGATCGATGCATATCGTCAATCAACAGCTCGTGAGATTTTATATATTATATATATTTGGCGCTTTGTAACAGGTAATGCGATTTTCTGCTGAGCTCGTCTTTCGATTGCACTCCTCTAGTTATATAGGTTCACCATGTTCTTACAAAACGAGACGTCAAAGAAGCGATCCAGTATTAAAGTGATTGTTACGAAAAAGGGGTTTGTTCACAAGAGATGAAATCGGCAAAAATCGTACCAAATAAAAAATCTAGTGACGACGTCAGACTTATCGCAATATTACACTCGTTATCTAAAGTACTTGAACGCAGTATGCATGCTCAAATAAATTCTTTCCTAAATAGGAACATGCTGGTGAATCGGTACCAATTCGGCCTTAGATTTAATAGGAGTTGCATAAAGGCGCTAATCAGGATTTCGGATGACATCAGGCTCAACATGGACAAAAATCGTGTAACGTTATTAACACTCTTCAATCATTCCAAAGCGTTTGATACTGTGTACCATGAACTGCTTGCTTTGAAACGTTTCTCATTGACAGCAACAAACTTCATAAAATCATATCTAAGTGATCGTTCGCAAGCTGTATGTCTAGGTAACGTTATATTGAATCATTTACATTTATTTAAAGGCATTCCACAACGAACTATTCTCGGGCATCTGTTATTTATATTAACGACCTGCAAAGTGTATTGAAATACTGTGACCTTCATTTATACGCTGATGATGTTCAATTATATGTCAGTTGTCCTTTTGAACCCATCAATGATTGCATTAGCGACCTCAATACCGATGTAGATCTCATTAGCAAGTGATAATGGTTTACTTCTAAGTCCGATTAAATCGCAGTGCATTGTCACTTACAAAAAACCTTTCAAACTCAAACTTCAGTGAAGTGAAACTAAATTACTCTGATGTAAAATTCGTGGATACCGCCAGAAACCTAGGAATATTCTTCCATAGAACTTTATCTCGGAATAACCATATTTAAAGTGGAATAGGTAAGGTTCTTATTTTTTATTTAGAATTCCTAACCATTAAAAATTCAATTGCTATAAGCCAAAACTTTCTTCTTACCGACCTTACTGTATAGTTGGGAACTGTTTTCCAGCTGTGACAGTCTGTGTTTTAGTAAACTCAATGCCCTCTACAATTGCATCGCCAGATACGTGTATGGCGTAAGTCCTCGTGAGCACATAAATCCTTTTGCATTAAAATTATTTTCCATAAAATTCGACAATTTACTGAAGTCAAAGCGCCTAATGCTACTTCACAAAGTCACTAGCTCTCAGAAGCCCAAATATCTTTCAGAACGAATTCAATTCACCAGATCTACCCGATCAATTGACTTACTTATCATGAAATACTGTTGCCTGGTATCTGAACGTCAGTTCTTTGTTTTTACTGTTCATCCTTGGAACGCTCTGCCACAAAGGATCAAAAGCATTCGAAGTACGTTGCACTTTAGAAACTTACTCCTGCATCATTTTGCATAATCAATTAATTGCTAATCTACATACTCATTCTTATATTTCAAATATTGAAAATACTACTTCTTCTTTAATAAAATTCCTAACCTTACCTTAATGTTACTAACATGTTTAGAGACAAAAGGACGGCTTTAATGTTTTAATTAAAATGTTATTATTATGTTTTATTTTAAGTTATTAGAATTAGGTTCTAGCATTGTTAAATTACTTATATGGTTGTGCGTTTGAACAAATAAACAAAATAAAAAAACTTATCATAATATTCTTTTTTTACATTGTAAGTTGATAAAAATATGTTAGGTGGTAGAGAAGAAATTCTGTATTTTTAACAGAGCTCTGTTAGCAGCTAAAATAGAATCAAGTAAATTCCTTTTAAAGAAACCCAAGTGTTTCCATTAGCGGACTCTTTCTTTTTACTTTGAATTTCGAGCTGAGCAGTTCACTTTTGAGTATGATTTGAAAAAAAAGAGTATACATACGTACACTTCGATTGAAGTCAAATTTAATAGCAAATTATTACATTTGGAGTAAAAAGATCAATTTAAAAAGTTTCCGCAATTTTTGGGCTTAATTGTGGTTGAAATGATCCATGTGCATGGCTATCTAGGCTTTAGTCATCCTTACTGCACATCTTTTTAATTCAAAATCGTTTGAATATGTTGAACATACAATTTGCATTCGGGTTCCTGCGTTAGCCATAAGTTCTGGTCGTCAGCAGTTAACGTGGAGTAAGATTTAAGGAGGTATTTAGTGGCTTTACATTCAATTTTAAATGAAAAAAAAAAAAAAAACAAAATGAAATAATGAAAATTGCAGACCAAAGATTTCCAATGACTATAGATGCATACGATAAAACGAGTTTGTAAATGAGTACAGTTGCCGAAATCCTTAGCAAAGGTATCCACCACCTAGCAATAGCAACCAGTTTTTTATGTGAGTGTGAGTTTTCCTTTTCAGCAATGTGTGCATATTATTTCTTTTGTTTTCTTCGCTTGTTCGATGGTTTATCAGGAAATATTTCGTAATTCGAAAATACCACCACTGAAGCTACGGGACGAAAACCAAGCCAGATGTACACAATCTCGTAACTGCGTAACATAGATCGATAAGCAGTGCACAAATCTGTATGTTGCTAAATTTACGAACTTTGAAATCTACCGCCAGTTTCATAAAACGATATTCAAGTCTTTGCCGGGTAATACAACGAATAATTATGAAATGTCTTGTGATCAGCTGGACAAATACGGTGGAGCACTCTAACAGAAGGGACCAAAATTAATCAAGATAACGTGAGATCTCATACAAGTTTGATAACTTGCCAAAAGATTTTTCGGCTTAAATGGCACCTCCGGACTTTTCCTTATTTGTTTTTTTTTTTTTTGCGGATGGGAGTGTCTTCATCTCACTTGGAACAGTTTTACGCCAGCAAGGATCAACAATTTCATGAAACAATCTCTTGTCGGAAAACTGGCAAAATCTATTCGATCAAAATGGGCAATAAATTATTAAATAAAATGTTTAACACAATAATAAAAAGTGTTAAAATTGCATTAAAAAAATTAAATAACTTTCTCTAAGCTAGCTAAAGGCAGTTACATGAATGTAATCTAATTTTCACTTCGTTTTCTCCTTTCTCACCATTGAAGTGAACTTCTCTAAGGCTTCTTTATTTGTTCTATATCACTTAGGACATTTCATTATATTTTAATTTTCAAAAAGTTTTGACCAGTCTGTCATAATTTTTAATATATTTTTTCTATAAATTATTGTAAAAATTCATTTGAATCTCAACGTAACTGCGAAAATAGGTATGAAGAGGAATGATAAGTTTCGCAGCGGAGGAAAGCCGCGCAAAACGACTTTCGAGAGAACGAATGTAATTCCGAATAACTTCTTGCTTCAAAGTTCATTGTACAGAGCGGATAAGTTACATATCTTAGGTTAAGTTTAAGTTTTCCAAGTCTGTACAATTCAGTAATTAGCGATGATTAAACCCGCGACTTGTTTTTTATTTGGAAGCTTTCAAAAAACTCGATAACAAAAGGAAACATTTGTCACTATAAATAGATATAATTATTTATTGTTTAATTTGTTTTCGATATTTTTTCGGTTTAACATAGAAAATATATTTTTAGCTAATTGTTTCCTTATTCTGCTCATAGTAACGTGAATATATATTTCCCTGGAAAAGACTCGTAGAAAATCAGAGCCTTCTGAGGTACTTGACTTTATTATAAGCATGAAATGTCGAGCAACGGGGTTTTTTACTTTATAAATTGGTCTCCGGAGATAGATGAATTACTGGCCTATAAACTAACGGGGTTTTGGGACATACCTCAAATAAATTCAGAGGGAAATGCATAGCGAATTCAGAAGCACATTAAAAGCCGTCTACAAAAGTTTAAGAAAAGTTGACACAGGCACAAAAGTGCCGAAGAAGCAGTGAAAGAGCATTCAAAAGGGCTGCCAAAATCGTAATTTCCTTAACGGCGAAGAAATAATAAGAATTGAAAAAATAAATGAAATAAAATGCGCGAAGTCTTTTGAGTGCTTCTTTTCGTTCCCTTCCCCTCGTTAGTTGCTTTCTTTCCTGTTTGCGCTGTTTTTTTCCCTATGCAAATATTGCACTTACTGCGCCAAGGATTTGAAAAGAAAATTTTTCAGTATAGTCCTGATTTCTCCTTCCGAAAGTCTCTTTAAATGCTGTCCTTTATTTTCATAAATTTACTTACAAGTTGATTGCAAGAAGAAAAAATTAAATTTGAATATACACACCAAAGCTGTTTAAGCACAATAGACAAGGCAAAATGGCAAAGCAATTGCTTAGCTTTGCTCTCCTGCAGGATGCTCCTCCTGCATTTAAGGAAATTTTCATATTTTTGCAATTTCTTACGCTTTAGTTGCTCTTGAGCAGATAAATTGTTGCAAGCTGGACGTAGGAAATTGCAAATTTAAATATGAATATAAAAGGAAATTGCGAGAGAAATGCGCAAAAGTTTGTGGAAAGTGAAAAGGGTTAGATAAAGTGGTATTTAAGGGCTTCAAGAGAAAGCGCATATTCAATAATTGTTATATTATAAACCGACAGAAATTTATTTAAGTGAAATTATTTCCTCTTTTGGTACAGAGACGCACCGGGACGCATAGTCTCAGATGTTTGCACGTTCGGTGGCATTGTAATTTGCTGTGTTGATAGAATATGAAAAATATATATTATACATATATATAATAAATCTTGGCATGTTTTTACCATTTTGTTGTTCTACAACTACTAGTTGTCAGGTAAATCCCGCCCAGGAGGTCATCTAAATAGAGTCAGACCAAAGGAGAGTACCGTTAAATGCCTAGAAGTCTTTCAAATAAGTACAGTCATTGAGCGTTGGGCGCGCTTTGGGTTTGAACAGATATAAAAGTTAATTTAGGCGCTTCTCTGCATGACGTTCATTGCCTGCGTGTATGAGGTTGATTCCAGGGCCTCAGTGTTCCATCGCTGACTCAATCCGTACAGTAGAGAACACAGACAAAGAAGCGAATGAGAAGTAGATCGGTTTTGAAGTGGCTACAAACCTAATTTCATCTACAGTAACTTTTTAGCTACTAATCTTCGACTGTCATTATAAGCAGTCTGCTGTGATATTTTACAGTACTGCAGTTCCGTTATCATCGGAAAGGACCTCTCCGAGCCATTCGATACCAAACGGTGTTTCAGACAATGTGACTTTTTAACGTGTGATTTCTTCAATCTGGTGCTGGAGAGAATAATAAGAGCTGCTGAGCTGAATAGAGAAAGTTCTATCTTCTATAAGAGTGTACGCCAATAATACATTATTGGCCTCAACAACCGCGCCGTGAATTCTGCTTTTTCCACACTTGATAAAAAAGCGAAGCAAATGGGTCAGGTAGTGAACCGGCCAAGACGAATAATCTCCTGTCATCAAATAAACAGTCATCACATTCGCAACTTGGCTCCTACGTCACTGTTGACAGTCATAACCTCGAGGTCGTGGATAATTTCGCCTATCTGGGAACCAGGATTAACACCTATAATAACGTCAGAATCACTCTTGCCAACAGGTGCTACTTTGGACTGAGTAGGCAATTGGAATGTAAAGTCCTCTCCCGACAAACGAAAACCTCACTCTACAAGTCCCTCATCGTTACCGTCCTGCTATCTGATGCGGGGGCATGGACCATGACAGCATTTGATGAGCGTTAGGAGTTTACGAGAGAAAGGTTTTGCTTAAGATTTATGGTACTTTGCAACGGTGAATACCGCAGACGATGGAACGATGACCTGTACGAGTTACACAGCGACATTGATTGTCCGGATGGATAAGTGCACTCCAGCTTTAAAGGTAATCGATGCAGTACCCGCTGGTGGAAGCATAGGAAGGTATTAGGTATTAGGTAAAGCAAAAAATTCTATAAAAGTAAAAGTTTTAGTTGTATTTAAAAGATTCTAAAAAATAATATATCTCATTATAATTTCTTAATTTTTTTATTTTCGATATTTTTCTTTTTAAGTATAATATCCAAGAGTGTGAAGAAATTGTTATGCATGGAAGCCTCAGAATAAAAAGATTAGATCTTTCAGTTTGAACAATAAAAGGCAATTTTGCAACGGTACTTAAAGAAATGATTATTTATTCTGCCAGATTCAACGCCTTTTATTCGAAATTCCACTTATGAAAAATGCAATCAGTACGCTTATGTAAGAATTTGTTGTTATTTTATCATAAGAAAATTTTGCTTCATTGTGTGGAAGGCATTTGCCAAATGTTTAGTATCGGTAAATTTTATTCCCTTAAGTGCCATAGTGTTGCAGCGGCAGGAGTCGTTAGTGTGATGCCAGTCTGTTGGCGGTGTTAACGCGCCGAAGATGGGCTGAGATTTGGAGCAGTAGAGGCATTTGATTCGAGGAAATGCTTTGAAATTGCAATTTCTTGAATCTTGAGTGCGCCGCTGATGATTTTGGCTGGCAAGAGTCAACAACAAAAATAAAAACAACAACAAATAGTGAACGGAAAACCAAATAAAATTGCGATTACACTCTCTTTGTATGCCACGTACTTACTTTATATGTATAAATGCATACATACATACATATTTGATACAGATTTTTTTCGCAGTTGTTGTATATTTTTCCTTCTGTACTTATTGGTCGATAACTTTAGAGAACAGCGCAATTGCTGAAAAAGTTGAAAGGAAATGAGATAAAATGCGCATAATCGCAGTGTTGCACTGTTGTTGTTGCGCTTATAGCCATTGCAGATACGTGATGCCATTGCGCTTAATCATAATGTCGGCGTAATATTGAGGATGATAATGATGTGTATGATGACGCCTAGGTATTTGCCGTTGCTTGCATTATGCAGTAAAATCGACTCCAAGTGCAGCACTGAATAGTTTGTAATGGCGCTTGGAGGGAGTCAGTATCGATGAATATATGAATATTTCATTTTGTGGGCTAGCATTTCAATGGAATGCTTGTAAATGCCTTAAAATAGTTTCATATATGAGTTCCTATTATCGCATTGTTTAATATAATCGCATAAATTTCGATTTATACTCGATTTTTCTCGCGTCTTCGGCCCCATAGAATTTCAATATTATACAAATAAAATTTTTAACCAGTATTTTAGGTTAATTATTTTAAAATAACACATAAGCTAAGGTGTTGAGCCCAAATAGCATTTTTTCAAATAGATTGGGTCAGTTTTCTCAAAAAGAAAAAAAATATATTTCACATATTTGTCTAGGCAAAGAACTTTTAATATTCCAAATATCGCTATCAATATAGCAATTTTTTGATTTAAATAAATTGAAATATTTGAAGTTTAAAATTCAATAACATGAAAACTGAAAAATTTAAAATAACAACTCATGAATTATTTTAGATTTGAAACAAAGGTAGCTAAGATAAGCAGGTACACTATTTCTTTCTCTGGGAAGTGGGCCGAAAGAAACTATTCGAAAAAATTAAAAATTCCAAAAAAAAATACGAAAAATCATATTGATTTAAATGAATGATAATGACTATGGAATTTTTTTACAAAAAAAATTTAATTAGCTAAAACATGATTATGTATTTGCATTTTTGGACGCCGCATTGTGACAGCTTTAGATCAAAATTTTTATTTCTTCAACCTGTTGACAGTTATAAGCTCCTGGGATCCTGCAATAATATTTTGCTCTGAAGACCCTCTTATTTTCATTTAAGTTAAAGTTTCACTTAAATTATCAATAATATAAATTTTTCAAACAAATGGTTATAATATAAAATTATTAGTTAATTTATTCTCTTCAATTTGAGATCTTCATTACAAAATCTCATTCCATTCTGTATAAATCTCTGTATTAATCTAGTTCAATACGGTGAAGTCGTTCCCAAGTTATAAAGTAACAAACCAAAATAGCCTTTAGTTGAAAAGATCGTAACATCTTCACCATCCTTACGGGCAAGCATCGTTTGAAGAAATTAAAGTTATTCATAAGATCTAGCGATCAGTT